CTCTCTGCCTACTTGTGATCTCTGTCTGTCAAATAAATAAATAAAATTAAAAAAAAAAAAAATATATATATATATATATATATATTCAAGAAGAGAAATTAAAGATATATATATCAATCAAGTAATATACCATGTTATAGAATTGGAAGTCTCATATTGCTGAGATTATGGGGGTAAGTAAATGGAACACATGCTTAACTGCAATCCCAATCAAAATCCCAGGAAGATTATTTTTTGTAGAAATTGATTGGAAAACAAGGGCACCACTGAAATTCAGTGGGAAAGACAGTCTTGTCAATAAGTGGGACTAGAGGGGCGCCTGGGTGGCTCAGTGGGTTAAAACCTCTGCCTTCAGCTCAGGTCATGATCCCAGGGACCTGGGATCAAGCCCCGCATCGGGCTCTCTGCTCGGCAGGGAGCCTGCTTCCGCCTCTCTCTCTGCCTGCCTCTCTGCCTACTTGTGATCTCTGTCTGTCAAATAAATAAATAAAATCTTAAAAAAAAAAAAAAGAACTCATCAATACATATTCATTAAAATGCAGGCGATACAAGTGTTGAAAACCACATGTCTACCCTGGAGTCTTTCTCTCAGGGACTCACTCTGTGTGATTGGTCTGTCTCTATCTAGGTCTTATGGATGTATCTACACACTATATTAGTATGTAAAGAAATAATGTAAAGAAATATATAAAACAAAAGTATGTCTTGTTTTGTTTTTAACATAGTTTTAAAAATTATTAGATGTAGTATTCATCTACCTTGCCTTTTTTTTTCCTTGACAGTGTCTCAGGGAGCTTTCCATGCTAATACACATAGTTTTACCTCATTCTTTTTCATTGCTACATGGTATTTCAGAGAATAGATGTGCCATAGTTTATTGAACTGGTCCCCAGTCACTGGACTGTCGGGTCATTTATAATTTTTAGTGTTATTTTAGTATTATGACAGTGAGCATTCTTAGGCCTTCCTTTTTGTAGATATGTATAAATACTTCTCCAAGGTATTTGTTCAGAGGTGTAACTGCTACAGAATGTGCCCTTTTGAATTTTTATATTGCTGTGTTGCTTTTTCCAAAAGCTATTTACCAATTTCATATAGACTTCTTTCCATAGTGCATAAGTAGCCAACCCTAGATGTATCAATCTTTTTAATTTCGGTCAGTCTGACAGGTGAATATTGACTCATTTTCACACGGTCTGCTTAACAGTGACCCGATCACTCACTGATACGGTTTCTAGGAACACAGTGTGTTGTAAAACAGTACTTCCTGCAATGAGGATATGATATAATGAATTTAGAGTAACACTGTACTCAGTGTGCATTTACTGGTTTTCCCTGTATTAGGAAGTCAGATGGGTGGCAGATAACTGAGTCTTCTGCGGAACTGGTTTTTAAAAACAAAATGAACTGCTGTCTATGACCTGTTTTTTTAATGGGAATAGAAGGAGGGCCCTTGAACGCATGATTGACCATTTCCAGAGGGTTTCCTTCTCTACCTCTGGCAAATTAAGTTTAAATAAGAAAGGGTAAATAAATGCATGATTTAACTTTGTAATTAGAGATCTCAATCAGTGCCTGGGACACACCGCAGTGTACATTAAAGTGAGCGAGCCTGGCTCACACAGACGCACACACATGCTGTGTTTAGTTTGAAAGCACTGCAGGTCGTTGGACTGCGGTGGTTGCCGTGAGCAGAGAGCTGGGATGGGAATGTGGGTTCCAACAGTGTCTCAGTCCCAGGGGAAGGCAGTGTCTGTTCAGAGCATTGTCTGGGTGTCGTGCAACCGGCACGAGCAGATGAGGCAGCCCTGCTGATTTCTTGAGATCCATTATGAGCCAGCCTCTGGGCTCAGCCAGGGGCTGTGTGTGAGATCACACGGTGCTTTCTGCTCTGGGGGCACCTGGGGAAGATGGTAGTTTGGCTGTGCATTGAGCAGCTTGTTTTTGATGTGCTGTGTAGGTGTGCAGGTGTGTAGTTATGTAAGATGCTCCCTTTGGGTCACTTTTGTTGCTGATGCTGTTGTTACTGCTGTCTTGTCTTGGCATCTTTTCCCACTGTCCAGTATTTCTGAATTTTTTTCCCAGTCCTGAGCATGTGTGTGACCGGTGCTCTTGCTCTTGCTCACGCCAGCCTAGGAAGCTGACTGAGGCCTTCCACCTGTGCAGGTTTCCCCATATCCTCATCCCCAGGACTGACAGGTGGCACCCAGAGGGGGCTCCCCATAAATGTATTTATCACTGCATTTCCTTAATTCTGAGATGCAGTTTTTTCACAGTTATAATGTTTCCAAAATAGAAGTATATCTTGCAACCCTTATGCACATTAACAGCATTTTCTCAAAAAGCTATTATCACTGAAATTGATAGTATACAATTGAGGGGACAATATGTTGATAGCAAGCTGATTTTAATGTGTTTCTTTGCACATTAAACTTTTTTCACTTAATGGGTTGGGCTTTAAGTCAGTAGCATTCATTAAGTACGTAGAATTGTAAATTCCTTCTGCTGGCCTCAGTCACACCAGTATCCCCAGACATGGATTCTGAAATTCCCTCTCTGATACCTCAGCTAGATCTGATGTATAAACACCCACTAACCAACAGATTGCTCCTGTTTCCAAGAACTTAAGTTGTCCTGTGATTCAGGAATAATTACAGGGCAATTGCTCTCTTTGTCTCATTGTAGAGCAAAACTGTTTCTTAGTCTGTCTTCATTCCAGATATTGAAATACTTCTTATAAAGAGAGCTTTATTAATAAAGCAGGGGCTCAGGGGGGAAAAAAAGGATTTTTAAAATTATTTATATTTTAGGGAGACTATAGTATACTTGCTTTGAAAACTTTCAAGGAGAAGCCTATTACAGAGATTATTATTAGATCTTTTGTCCACTGGTCTCATTCTGTTATACTGTTAGAGCATGCCCCATATTAATCTAAATGCCTCTATAGTTAAGTCAATTTTAAAATGTTGTAAAGGCAGTTTTCAAATCAGTTCTTATTTTAGCATGAGCAGTGTATGCACATGGTTGAAAAAGCCACTTTCTGAAAGGACAGAAACTTCTGTCCCATGCTGAGTCCTGTTCCTTTGATGCTACTCATTACTGGGGGCTATTGTTCAGTGAGAGCCAGGGAGGATTCCGTGTGCGCACCTCTTTGCTTGTGAATCTTTACATTGTACCTGCAGTTAACAATTGCCTGTTTTTATTTGCCTCTATTTTTAAATGCTTTTTTTTTTTTTTGCTATTTTGTCCTTAAATGTTCCAGTACTCCTGTTATGTGTTTATTAATAAAATTTTTCAAGTGTCCAAACTCATTCACAAGAATTAAGAGAAGGAAGGAAGGAAGGAAAGAAGGAAAGAAAGCAGAGAAAAAAAGGAAAAGAGCCCTTTTAAAAATCTTCCACCTTTCCTTCCAGCTTTATCTGTGCAGTGTTTATGTAGTTGTATTATAGTACATATGTACATTTAAAAGCTAATGTGCTAGTATTTCATAAGCAGTCTTTCATTTGATTCTTAGTTATCTCAATTTTTACTTTTAAAATAGTGCATAATATTCTGTGGTATGGTTGCTGTGCAGAAAGCTAACTTATTTCACTTGTTTGGGAATATTTAGGTTATTTTTAATTACTATTAAATAACTAGGCTCTAATTTTTTTCTATTTTGATTTTTTTTTTTCCTACTCAGATTAGATTTCTGGGAATTGAATTACCTAATGAAAGAATGTAACTTATTTTGTGCGAGCTGAAACATTTGAGTTTTTTAATAGTACACTGGGCTGTAGTCTTTCCCCAAAGCGGGTAGGGTTTTCTCAACCTAAAGGGAAAAAAATACAAAAGCTAAATGTCCCCCAAATCATCTCTCAGATGTCAGACTTTCTCCTTTCACAGGATCTTGGATTTAGGAAAAGGTGTGACCTCTCTGATGTTGGAGTTCACATCTCGAATCTGTGTATAACCTTCACTTTGTTTTCTCTTTCAGAATATCCCAGACCCCAGCGACCTTCCCTTGGTGGCGCCCTGGAAAACCTACCCTCTGTTCTTTGGCACAGCCATTTTTGCATTTGAGGGCATTGGGATGGTAAGAGTTGCACTGTGATGACCTGTTGCCGTTGGTGTCCTTGAGGTCTGCTTGACAGAAGGCGGAGGAAATGTTATTAGAAATTATCTTCTGAAACTTATTGGCCAGTTAAACCAGCCATTCAGGGATTCCACAGGAATTCCCTAGCTGTAACTTTTGAAAATAAATTGTATGTGATTTAAGAACTTTCACATTCAAACCCCCTGTGTTGCGCAGCCATCCCTGTGTGTGTAGTAAGCAATAATACATGGCAATTGGGAATGCAGGGTCTAGAGTCAGACTGACTTGGGGTGAGTCCTGGCTCTGCCAAGGAGTAGCTGTGTGACCTTTATAAGGATGTAACTTCTCTGAGCCTTCATTGTTTGCTTCTGAAAAGTGAACTTAATGATTGTAGTTGTTAGGATTAAATAAGACATGTATGAAGTGCTTCACGTAGTCCCTGACATGTAGTGAGCATTCAGTGATTTTTATTTCTATTAGTAATACTGTTGATTTTGGGGCACCTGGGTGACTCAGTGGGTTAAAGCCTCTGCCTTTGGCTCAGGTCATGATCCCAGGGTCCTGGGATCGAGTCCTGCATTGGACTCTCTGCTCAACAGGGAGCCTGCTTCCATCTCTCTCTCTTTGCCTGCCTCTCTGCCTACTTGTGATCTCTGCCTATCAAATAAATAAAATCTTTAAAAAAATACTATTGATTTTATTATTAAATCAGTAAGCACACAAATTATCTCTCTATCCTGGAACATTGATGTGCCGTATTTTTTTTGCGTGTAGATAAATAACCTTAGCCTTTACTCCTGGCTTAGCTTCCCCCATCATTGCTGTGATTTCACCCAATGCTTCTCCTTAAGGAGAGGAATCTGCCACTCAGTTGTACCTAATTTGATTTTCATTTATATTTTTCATAGTAAAGGTCCAGAAGTCTTCTTTGAAGAAAATTATTGGTTCTGCTGGCCAAGAGCTTAGGAAAAGGGAAGATAATTTTCCTTTCATAGAATCTTTTTATCCTCTTTCAATTTCTCTATCACTTTGTATACTTTTAAGAAAACCTAGAAGCTGAACACATTTTTTTTTGTCAAAATACTAAGAAATTGCCCTGGTGGTATTGATGGAATGGGTTAAGTCTCTAATATCATAGGGGAAGCTTTCTAAGTGATGAGTGTGTAAGTTGTTGTCCTGAGTTTTAACACATTTCCCTTTGCCCTTTCTTGGGGGTTTTTAGTGCCCAGGAAGAATGTCTCCCCTTGATTCACAAACACAAATGTTTCCCTGCTGTGGGGGTTGAGGCCTGAAATGGCCCATATTGCAGCAGTGAAAAAGAAGCTCCACATACGTGGGACTGGAAAGAAGAGATTGAGTCAAGTTTGGGAAGCTGCCGGGAGACCCTGGGTTCTTAAGGAGTATTGTACTGAAGAGATCACTTTTCCCTAACAGTGCAGCACAGAAGTTGTTCTTTGCATCATTTCATCAGCCAAGGCTTAGAAATGGAGTCATTCTATAATCATCACTACCTGTCACTTCAAGATTTCTCTCTGTTTTCTATTTTTATAAGGGAGAAAACACTGCTGTTTTGACTCTTAGTTTGGACTTGAGGGCTGTTATGTGTGTCCGGTGAAGGGCTCTTCTCGCTGTCTGTTCATTGTGCTCTCTCTGTGTTTGTGCCACTGGTCCAGGCCTGGCAGACGTGGAGATGGGCCACCTTCCCTCTGGCTCTCTAGACTCTCCATAAAATGTAATGGAAGGAAAGTGAACAGTTTCTAATTGGATGTGGATTAACCGCAGCTTGAGACCCCTGAGCTGGGGAGCGGGTGCGGTGCTGAGGCCCAGTTGGAAGTGCAGAGCCGTGGCCTGGAGCTCCAGCACCAGCCCTACAGCAGGCCTGCGGCATTTGCTGGGGTGCGTCTGGCACAGACCCACTCTGCCTCATGGCCGCAGGTGTTCGAGGAAAAAGAGTGTCACGACAAGATCAAAAATGTTTTGTGAGGCAGCTAGACATTGCCCTGCCTTGCTTTTCCTTGTCAGCCATGCCAGATGCGGTTGATAGCAGGTTGTGAAGCTTGTCAGTCACGCCTTCTGTGTTCCCTGTTCCTAAAGGAACGAGTCTTCAAAGGGTCCTTTGCTTTGCTTTGGAATGTCCTCTGCTGTGAGGGAGAGGGCAGCAAGGTCAGTGGTTTGGAATAGAAATCTGGAAAGTGGATTTTCTTGTACATTTTGCGAGCCCAAGTCTCTACATCCTCTAACTTGTGACACCCTCAGTGCCCCCATTTCTCTAACTCAGAGGTTTAACATGTCACTGCTGGCATCTGTCCTTTTGGAGGTATGGAAACAGTCTCTGGGCATTAGAGTGGCAGTTTCCCCTGACCTACGTTTTGCATTCTTTGGACTGCTTGGCAGAGCTGTGATCTCAGACAAGGTCTGTTCTCCATTGTGCTGGGTGGGCATGATGCAGCTGCCGTGTGGCTGTGCCAAGGGGCAGAGAGCACCCCCAGTCCATGGGGACCCTGGAGGAGGAGTTCAGAGCACCAGCCTGGGTAGGAGTCCTGGGGCCCAGTCCTGCCTGCCCTCGCCCTCAGGACTTCCCTCTTCCACACGGGAAGCAGGGTATCTCCTCCAGCTCTGAGGAAATAACTTGCCTTTATTTATGTCTTGTAAAGATAGATGTGCTTTTGGGGAATCTTGAGGATAAAGCACTCTTTTTCTGAGGAGATTATAATTTATTTTGGCCATTAATGTTACTTTTTCCTGTGTTTTCTCTTCTCTCTCACTACTCTCATAGGTTCTGCCCCTTGAAAATAAAATGAAGGATCCCCAGAAATTTCCACTCATCCTGTACGTGGGAATGGCCATCATCACTGCCCTCTACATCAGTCTGGGGTGTCTGGGGTACCTGCAATTTGGAGATCGTATCCAAGGGAGCATAACCCTCAACCTACCCAGTTGCTGGTATGTGGGGGAGGATGGAAGCCTGGGAACACTGGGTGTTTTTGCTTTTGTTTTTTAATTAATGGGTCAGAATGTGGATTTTCCTCTACTTATACCTTAAATCAGCTCACTGCACTTGAGCCCACTGCTGTCACCCCTACCCCACCCCCAGGCCAGCACCATCCCTCCTTGGCTGCCCACTGACCCTTTTGACCATCTACTATCTCAGTCTCGCTCCTCCAGACCTGTTCTCGCATTACCTGTATGAGCCATCTCAGACTCAAGTCAGCTGTGCGTCCCCTTGTTGAGAGCCCTGAGGGACTTTCCTTTGCTCCTCTGATAGAGGCGAAACCTTTAAGGTACCTATCAGTCCCATTCCGCCCGTAGCCCTACCTGCACCTCACTCCTACTTGGCCAGGAAGACTTAGTCTAGGAGTCTTTTTTTTTTTTTTTTGAGAAACTTTTTCTGCTCTCTTACCCACAAATTCCCATCTAGGTCAGATACCCCTTCTTGTGGGATCCCATTCAGACCCTAGCCTAAATCTTATTCTGTAGTACTGTAACGGTCTGTTTACCCTAACTGTCATCACCCTACACAGTAAGCTCTGGGAAGGCAGGGCTCCAATGCACCCCAGCATGTGGCACAGTGTCTGGCACATGACTATCACCCAGGGGATGACTTTTGAATGAAAAGGAGGACTAAACATCTGAGCATCTTATGAACAAGGAGATGCTCTCAGGAGGCAACTGGCATTGAGATGACAGAGGCGGTCTGCCATGCCCAGCTCTGTGGCCTTGGGCACATCACAGCTGCTTACTGCCTCAGCTCCCACTTCTGGGAACTGGGAATAGTAATTTCTTCCTGCCAGGATTGTCACAAAGACCAAATGCTATGCATGAGAAAGCACTTTGTAATACTCTTCTGGTGCTCTCAGAAGGAGGACACTGCCCTAAGCTTACTTCTTTGTTTAGAGGAGGAATTCCTATGGAGGTGTACACCAAATGGGTTGGTTATAGGTGACTGATATGCCCTTCCTCCCTGAAAATCTGAGCCTGGAAGGGCCAAGTATCCCATCAGTTCACCTTAAACATTCCAAATAGGGAGAGGAGAGCAAACTGGCTAGGCTCCCAGCTTCTGCTGTGCCTCTCCCATGGCCGTCACTGGCTTGATGTGCAAGTGGAGGCCTGTCACCATGGATGAGGGCTTGTGGGGAGCCCTTCTGTATCTCACTTTTCTTGGCTCTTGGTTATTGTGTTGCAGGGCAACACTGAGACATACTGAAATGCTATCTAAAAAGGTAGCTGTCAGAGCATGTGGGTAGCTTAGCTGGGTGAACACCTGCCTTTAGCTCAGGTCATGATCTCAGCGTCCTGGGACTGAGCCCTGTGACAGGTGCCCTGCTCAGCGGGGAGTCTCCTTCTCCCTCTCCTTCTGCCCCTCCCCACCACTCATGCGTTCTCTCTCTCAAATAAATAAATCCTTTAAGAAAAATAAAAAGGTAGCTGTCACAGGGTGTGTCTGAAGCAACAGTTCTCTTGAAGGTTAGAAATTCGTTGTGGAGGGCTGCTGAGCAGACACCGAGAAGCTTGTTGAGTGCCCTGGGGATCAGAAGGACCTTTCAGGTTGGCCTGATTGACCTGCCTGTGCATGTTTTTAGAGCACCAGTCAGACATTGTGCAAGGACAGGTGGAGAAAATTGAGAAAAACATGTATTCAGCAGTACCGCTGGTGTTTAGCACAGGACACCCTAACCAGCAGGGGTCTGGGGACAAGATCTGTGGGGTGGCCAGCCAAGTGGTAGCCTTGCAATGGGCTCTTGTTTTCAGAAAGTATTTCTCTTTCACTCTGATGCCTGCTTTTAAATTTCCAAATGTTCCTGTCCTTTCAAGAGCCAGGTGGTGGCTTGGCATAACTGAAGATAAATGGATCAACAGGAACAGAAGCAGCCCACATAATCCGAAGCCATAGATAAGCACCTGTCTTCTTTCCTCTGATACTCCGAACCCAGCTACTCTAATCTTTCCACCTCCACTTGGGTGCAATTTATTTAGCCATCCCTGCAGGTGACTATCCTGCTTCCAGACTTCCTGGCACTCCAGAAGGCTTTGGTGTTGTACTGAGTTTAATTATAGAGCCACCAGCTGATTTTTCCAAAGCCTTTTTATTATCTATTCTGGGAGCAAGTAAGACCTTTTGTCCAACTCAGCCTCTCCCAGGGTATTCTCCTGTTTTTAGCATAAGAACATCTTCTAGGTATTAAGTTCAACCACAGACTATATACAATATAATTACCACTTTTAAATAGATTTCTGATGAGGTGGGGGAGGCCCATGTTCTTTGCTTCCTAATGCATGAGGGTCCTGTTTGAAGTGGAGCTTTGGTAAGGGGCAGAGTGGCTTTCCCTTTTTTTTTTTTTTTTTTTTAAAGATTTTATTTATTGGGCGCCTGGGTGGCTCAGTGGGTTAAGCCGCTGCCTTCGGCTCAGGTCATGATCTCAGGGTCCTGGGATCGAGTCCCGCGTCAGGTTCTCTGCTCGGCAGAGATCCTGCTTCCCTCTCTCTCTCTCTGCCTGCCTCTCCATCTACTTGTGATCTCTCTCTGTCAAATAAATAAATAAAATCTTTAAAAAAAAAAAAAAAAGATTTTATTTATTTATTTGAGAGACGGAGATCACAAGTAGGCAGAGAAGCAGGCAGAGAGAGAGGAGGAAGCAGGCTCCTTGCTAAGCAGAGAGCCCGATGCGGGGCTCGATCCCAGGACCCTGAGATCATGACCTGAGCCGAAGGTAGAGGCTTAACCCACTGAGCCACCCAGGCGCCCCAGTGGCTTTCCCTTTTAATGATCGTGTCAGATCCATTAGTACTTATGGATCAGATTTTTAAAAAATATTTTATTTATTTATTTGACAGAGACACAGCAAGAGAGGGAACACAAGCAGGGTGAGTGGGAGAGGGAGAAGCAGGCTTCCTGCTAATAAGCAGGGAGCCTGACACGAGGCTCGATCCCAGGACCCCAGGATCACAACCTGAGTGGAAGGCAGATACCTAACGACTGAGCCACCCAGGTGCCTCCAGACTTGTTTTTCTACTCTGCACAGTCCTAGGCTTGAGATAAGATAGAGATATCGGATGATGACATAATGGTCTCCCGGAGAAGCCGCATGTGAGGCCGCGGTAGGGAGACGGCCACAGTGGAGTGGAAAGATGGGATATATTCCTGCTTCTTGGCTGTGTGGTCACTGTCTGATTCTAGGGAGCACTGAATTGGAGGGGAAGGATATAAAAAACCCTGCTATATTTTAATCGTTTTAAGTTTTGAAAATGTATTTGTCCCTGGTAAAGATTCCAGATGTGCAAAGTGTATACAGAATATGTTTTTTCCATTTGCCTCCACGGAGTCCCTGGTGTTACAGTTCCCCATTTCAGAGGGAACCGTATTACCAGTTTCTTGTATTTCCTTTTGGAGATGTTTAGAGTATGTAAGAATGTCATATGTATGTGTGTGTGTGGGTTTCCCTTCTTTTTTCTTTTTTGGGGGGGGGACAATTTGTAGCACACTGTAGACACTGTTTCCTCACACGTTTTTCACTTAATAGTATATCATGAGCTAGTTCCATATCAGCACGTATAGTTCTGCCTCCTACTTTTTAACATCTAGGTGGGACACTAGGATTTATTGAACTAGTTCCCCACTGGTTAACATTTAAACTGTTTTCAGTCTTTCATACTTAAATAATGCTGCAGTGACATATTCTGAATGTCATTTTTTGTGCACATGTGCAAATATATCTGCAGGATAAATCCCTAGACATGAAATTGGTAGGTCCTGGGGCGCCTGGGTGGCTCAGTGGGTTGAACCTCTGCCCTCAGCTCAGGTCATGATCTCGGCGTCCTGGATCGAGCCCCACATCAGGCTCTCTGCTCAGCGGGGAGCCTGCTTCCCCCCCCTCTGCCTCTCTGCCTACTTTTGATCTCTCTCTGTCAAATAAATAAATAAAATCTTAAAAAATAAAAAAATTTAAAAAATTTAAAAAAAAAGAAATTGGTAGGTCCTAAGGACCATGTGCATTTTGATTCAGAGAGATACGGCCACTTCGCCATGAGACCGTTGTGCCCTCTCGCTGCTAGTGCACGTGGAAGCCGAGCAGGCTTTTGAATGTGTTTTGGCTCTGTTCCCAGGCTGTACCAGTCGGTCAAGCTGCTGTACTCTGTCGGCATCTTCTTCACCTACGCCCTCCAGTTCTACGTCCCGGCTGAGATCATCATCCCCTTCTTCGTGTCCCGTGTGCCCGAGCATTGGGAGCTGGTCGTAGACCTGTTTGTGCGCACCATGCTGGTCTGCATGACATGTGAGTAGAAGACAAGACACTTTGTTTGTTTGCTTTCCCAAAGGGCACCCAGTGCCCGGGGCTTTCTTGGGCGAGAGACTATTGGAATGACACAGTTGTAGTGTGTGAGCAGGAAAGTTGGCCTGCTGTCTCAGGTGCAGAGTTGAGGCCCAGCAAGGTGGTGAAGTGAATTGATTATATATATGTGCTCTAAAGGATGTGGGAGTGAGAAGAGTAGTTTATTTGTAGATACAGCATAAAATACTACGGCGATGGTCATAAGTCATAGCAAAGTTATAAAAGTACTATCCCATGTCCTTGCGAAAAATTAAGGTAGAAGTCTAAAGAGAGCCATTTCACTCATCTGCATGTGAGTGTGGGTTATTTGATGGAAGGTGCATGTTTGTGTTTTCAAATGATCATTTCCCAGTGTGACAGTCTGTTCCCTTAGATTTCATTTTGAGCCTCCATGATACTGCACTAGACATTTACCTACTGTGTTTCTTAGAAAATCTGTGTGGATTAACCTAGGTATTTGATTTTTTTACATTGTGTTTTATTCCTCCTCCCTGACTACACACCCAGGAGTGTGAGTTAAGAAGCAAGATGTTACTCTATTTGCGTTGGTTGAAACCAGTATAAATTTTAAAATAAAAATAAATTTTTTCTTTTCTTTTTTTTTTTTTTTTTTTTGGTAGCTTCTGTGACTTGATAGAATAGAGAACCCCTGGATAAATTGGTCTGTAATATCTAATTTAAATTTCTAGGAGATTTGCAACTTCTTTCCAGATCAAAGTGCTGGAATCTAGATTTCACTTTCTGACTATGTTTGGCTTTCTATTTTATTTTTAAAAACTGTATCATTTTGTGAGAAGAAATATATTGGTTTATTATATTGAGACTTCCCTGGGAACTTCTTAAATTATCCAGTCCAAGCCTCTATATTTAGAATAAACATAGGTCTCTGTGATTTTAAATTGAACCAGAATGGAGTGTTTTAGGGATAAATGATGTGAAAGTTGTCCAGCATTTGATCATAGTCTGGAAAATCAGAAGTGACTTTATGGGTTGGCTGCTAGAAAGAGGAGGGCGGTAGAGGTTGGACATGGGGAATAGACTAGTGCCTATTCCAGAATGGACCTCTTCAAGGAAACAGACGAGTGCCTATCCAAGAATGGGCTTCTTCCAGGAAAGATGGGCTTCCTCAGGGAGACACACTAGTGCCTGTCCCAGGTGGACCTCCTTGAGGGGATAGCCTAGTACCTATCCTAGAATGGACTTCTTCAAGGGACAGCCTAGTGCCTATCTCAGAAACAACCTCCTCAGGGAATAGACTAGTGCCTATCCTAAAAAGAACTGCTTTAGTGCCTATTCTGGAATGGACTTCCTCAAGGGAACAGCTTAGTGCCCATCCCAGAATGAACCTCCTTAAGGGGACAAGCTAATGCCCATCAGAGAAGGGCCTGCTCAGGGGAAGCAATAGTGCCCATCCCAGAATGACTTCTCAGTAGAACTAATATTGCTTATCCCAGAATGGACTTCTTCAAGAGAACAGACTAGTACCTAACATAGAATGGTCTTTCTCCAGAAAATAGCCTAGTGCCTATTCCAGGATGGACCTCGTCAGGGAACAGCCTAGTGCCTATCTCAGAATAGACCTCTTCAAGGGGACAGACTGGTGGCTATACCAGCTATAGGAACTGAATAGTGGCTGTAGTAACTGAATAGTGCCTATCCCAGAATGCATCTCCTCAAGGAACAGACTGGTACCCATCCCCAAATGAACTTCCTCAAGGGAACAGACTAATGCCTGTCCTGGAACAGATTTCTTCAAACCACTGCAATTCTCTTTCTCATTGTACTTCAGGGATGTGGGTGAAGCTGGTGTCCTGGATCTTTTTATGGAAGGAACTTCCTAGAGCTAAGAAACCAAATGCCTTCCCAGGACCTTCTGATTTAATGTTGGGCAGCATTCTATCTAAGGATTTGTTACAGGATGGGGCTGGGTAGGAGCCAGGCAGAGGGTGGACTCCTTGGATTTGCCAACTCCAGCAAGTTGATGGCAGCCGAGAATCTCACTTGTCCTTGTATGTAGCCTCTGTTTGGCAGACCTTCTGGCACTGTCTAGTCCAGCCTATAGGAAGAGCTTACTCAGCAGCTAATCCAATGCCCAGAATTACCCATAGGGCACTGTTGCCCCCGAGCAACTGAAAAGGAAAGAATGTGATATACCTTGCTTTTCCAGTAATTTGCCTTAATATGTGCTAAGGTACTCTGGACTTTGCCCCTATCTTCTGCCTGCAGCTCATGATGCGTTGACTCAGGTATATATATTTCTCTGTGAATGAGTCACCTCTAAATGTTGAAGAAACAGCTTTCCTATGTACACAGTGTTCGTGATGACAGTCTTCGGTGCTCCTGTTTTGGACTTCAAAGAGTGCTGGAAGAAAGGATGGGGGTAGTTCAGATAATTGGCTTTTTTCAAAGTGATTCTTCTAGAGAAGGTAGGTCTGTTTAGGTAAAATGTGCTCTAACTGCCTAGACACCAACTTCTGCCTGCCCGAATTGCTGGGGCAGTGACACTGGGCCTGATTCCTCTCCTGGCCCCATTTTCTTCTCAAGCCTGGTTTAGCCTCCAGTAACATATGTCTTGCTTCCTGCCAGGTTTCTTTCCACTGTGCCCCATAGGAGCCAGCAGTCTCTGATTCACAGATCTCATGCTTTCCTTAGATGTCTCTTGGTTTTTCCTTCGCTTTTCCTGACTCTGTCTGGGGGTTTCATCTCCCCTAGAGAGTGTGATGCTCAAAGGATACAAGCTGGTTTTGATCTTCAGGCTTACTCAGTTATTTTCTCCTTCTGTGATCTGTTGTGACTTAGCATTGCACGGTCAGCCTATTAAATGATGCAGCCTCTTCATCTGTGAGCACTTGGGCTTCTTTTACCTTCCCTGGAGACTTTCAAGTGATTGTGGGATTGAGGAGACGCATTTCACTATGACTCCAATTTAAATGTATTTATGTGAGTTTTTTTTTTCTGTACTTTCATATCTTTTCTGCATAAGGTTAATTGGTATATGATTTTAGGACTTTGCTAGAACTGATTGTTTTCAGTTATACCTGTAAATTTTAATAGCAGGTTGTTTTATTGCTATTTATGGTGTTTTCTTGTCCTTTTCCCCAAATTTTCCTCCTCTTCCTCACCCTCCATCTGCCACGGGGAGTAGGGAAATTTGGTCCAGACCCTTTCTTTTTTTCCATTTGTAACTCACCTTTCTCACCACTCTCCACCATTCCCCAAAGACTGCTGTGTCTACTTTCTGGTGCTTAATTTTAGACTGTTGGAGAGGAGGGCAAGGGGGAATACATGTGTCAGGGAACGGTGCTCATTTTGTTGTGACTGCATATGAACGGTATTTATTTCCAGCCCATATGTTTGCATTGCACTTAGCAGGTCACCTGTGTGCAGAGTTTGTGTAGGAGGAGAGGCTGGAAGAGGCTGGATTCAGGGGGAGTTCAGAGGTATAGGAAGAGTAGTTTCTTCTGGTTCCATGAAGCATTAACCTGTCCTTCAGGGCTTTGTGCTAATTCTCTGTGGCATTTGCCACGTGAAACATCTTACTTCAGTGAAGTACAAACATTTCAAAAACCTATTGTTGAAGATGTAATAACATAAAACCATATCAATTAAAAAGCTTGTTTGGACTGGAATGCATAGCTGTAGAACATTCCAAACAGCCAGACCCTATGAAGTATGAAGCTTCCAGGTCCACACAGAATAGCTTCTCAGCACTTTTGGCTTCTCACACTTCTCCATCCTGCAGCGGCAGAGACAAAGGGCAGCAGTGTTAATGAACTGTGCACTGTGGGCACCCCATGAACCCTCCCGAGCGAGGCCTCAGGTTCCTCAGCTGTAAGACATGCAGGCTATCTGGTTGCTAAGTCTTCTCTAAAGTCTAAACCGTGATTCTGCACAACTGCTTCGAGCCTGATTTTCAATTTCTACCAAAATATTGCTCAAGAAAGAAAATTAATGTAAAAACACTTCAAGAACATCTAGATCTGGGGTTATTGAGAAAGAAATTCTGAATATCCCACTGACTTAACAAAATGATTTTTTTTTTTTTTGTATTTTATCTTCTGTGTTACTCCTCATGGGTGCATGTTGCAATCATGGTATACACAGAACTCTGTCCTTTGCTTTTTATTTTATATTATATCATGAATATGTGTATCCTTCATGAACATTTCATGACCACATGATATTCTATTCTATTGGTGCATTGTATTCACTAAGCTACTCCTTTAGTGTTGGACATGGAGGTGGTTTTTCTTGCTTTTGTACTTTTTAATTTATATTCCCACTAAGTGAGATTATATATTGTGTTCAAGACTGTTGTTAATTTTTAAGGTAGATTTCTAGACATTTTAGAATAACACAGGTAGGCTTCACCAGCATCAATCACAATGAAACAGCAGAAAGAGCTTCCGGGCACAGGACTGTAGGTGTCCAGTGTATTTCTGTAAGTGTATGTTTGTTCTCTTAAGTGCTTTGTCTTCTCTAGTGCATAAGTCAGCTTTTCTGTTGCCGGTCTAAAACCACAGGCTCCGGAATCCCAATGAGTTCCTTCTCTGAACGTGGTCATTTGCCTCGTGTTACCTCAGCAGTTAAAAGATCGTATTTTTAGTGTCTCTTAACCCAAAGGGAAGGTGTTTTGTAACACCATTGGGGCCCTCTTGACTAATCACGTGGGCTGTCTGAGTTGTCCTCAGTCCCCCGTTGCTGTACATGCCACAGCCAGGCTGCTGAAGGGGGTGGTAACTTGCCATGTGGGAGTGTGCTATCTTCCTCTTTGTGTGGTGTGTTCTTGTGAGGGAACAGGGAGAAAGCAGGGGCAGATATTCCTGGTTGGCTGCTTCCTCAGGTCTCTACCTTCTTTCTCTTTCTAGAGGGCTTTAACTCAGAGTAAAGACATTTAATGCTAGAAGAGGTTTTGGTTGCTCCCACATCTTTCCTAAGTACCTGATTCCTGTCTCTGGAATTAGCTAAAACTCATTTGCCACAATTTGCATGGGGGCAAAACAGGTACCCCTGCTATTTGAACCCTTGGGGCTACTTGTACTAATTTGGTTGGCTCCTCTTGTCTTCCTCTTCCCGCAGCATGTTAGTGGGAGCCTCCCAATTCTTGCCTTCTCCCTAGCCCTCCCCCATTATCTTTCTCCAGTGTCAGACTTTATTTGGGGTTCAGTTGTGTTGTCTGGTCCAGCTAGGACAGGAAGTCGGCTTTCCCTTTGTAGCCCTGTGATACTGGCTTTAAGAGAAGAGAAAAGTTTAGCCGCTTTTAAAAGATATTTTTGCTAAGAAAGCTTATCTTGTATGTCCTTTGTAGCAAAAACAAGGACAAGTTTTTAGATTGCTTTTAAAATGTCATGATGAAGTGGAACATCTCTAATCTGAGAGAAGATTCTGATCACACAAGCCTCTGTTGCTGTTTCCACTTAATTCTTATCATAGAGTTGAGCACATCTGACCTCACTTAAGTCATATCATGAAGTACCATCTGTCCTTCAGGTTAATGTGAGGGAGGGAGGGGGATGGTGGACTCAGAGCCAGGAGGGCCTGGGCGGGTCATCCAACTTCTCTCCTCCTTCAGCTCGTTGTTTCTGATAAAGGTCTCCCTTCTCTTTTTGAGTGGGCTAGAGCATTCATGAAGACCAGGGGCTGGCACTGGAAGAATAACTCACTTCAGTGGCATAAAACCAGGCAGGCTGAAAGCTGTGTTTTTGGCACAACCATGTGTCCTAGGAGAGGAATCCCTCTGCTCTGCTCTGCCACCGTTGAGCGGTGCATGGTGCTTCCCAGTTGACAGTGAGTTAAGGGACATATCCCAGAATACGTTCCTAGGTGACTAAACCAGCATTGTGCAGTTCCTTAACATTTCAAAGCTGGGTGAGACTTCAGTGGCCATCCAGTGTTAGTACAGTCACCTGACCTCATGGGTAACCGAGCTGAGGCTCTGAATCGTGAGCTCACTCATGCTAGGACTGGTGGTTGCATTAGCTCACATATATGAAGCATTCATTGTGCACTTAGTACTCTAAGTTCTTTATGTGAGTGATCTCATGTGACCATCCCTATTCAGCAGTAGGTTAAGTAGCTGGCTGGTTAGTGGTAGAGCTGAGACTGGAGCCCAAGTTCTGAGTCCAAAGCCTACGCTCTTAACTACCTTCCTGTACCAGCCTCTCCTAGGGCTCGGTGCTGATTGCTGCCTTGGTGCTATTGCCACCCCACTTGAATTGGTGCCATGGGAGCCATCACTGTGAAGCTGACATTAGGCAGACGCAGACCCAGATCCCAGAGAGGGCAGGTGTCCTTTTCTGGGTCACATGGCAGACCAACTCTTGAGTGTTTGGTTGTCCATGATGAGAAAGCCATTTTGTCATCAGTTTTCTATATTCTTAAATTTCCTCCAAATTCAACCCTGAAGATCTAAGGGATATCACCAACTCTATTTAGAAAGGGCTAAGGGCTGAAGCAGACTATGTTTAACTTGGAGGGCAAGTTAAAAGCCTCTACTTTTTGTGGACTTTCTGAAGGCTTCAGAACAGTGAAGGTGGTAATGGATACTTGCCATTATGGTCAGATGCTAGAATAAGCATTGCCCCCAGGCTATAAAACTGTGGCAGAGGCAGATCTGAGACTCAGCATCCTTGTATTCCCTTTTGTTGTCAGGCTTCAAAACCCTTGTCTTACTTCCTTTACAAAGCAGAAAGAGGTCAGGGCTGATTGTATACCAATTCCCTGCTGAATGATTGCCATTAATACTCTATGAGTATTAACGGTTAATATTCTGTGTTAACAGCTAATACTCTGTGAGTATTAATGCAGCATTTGACTCCTCCCGTTCTTCTGCTCATCAGCCAGCTTCCCTCTTTTCTCTCCTGTGGGTATCATTTTGCATTTTCTTAATCATCAGCTGTGATGTGACTGTACCAGGGACTTGACGTCATGGATTCTAGTCTCAGGTCTGTCACTTTCTGTCATTTAACCTCTCTGGAGATAATCATAATGTTGTAAAGTTATGTACCCATGGACCTGAGGCAGAGTCAGCCAATGAGTGGCTGCTTCACAATGCCGTCTACCAGACACTAGATGTTCTGCCGTGATGGAAATGTCCTGGGTCTTTACTGCCCAGGACCATAGCCATTAGGCACAGGTGGCTGTTAAGTCCTTGCAAGGTGGCCAGTGTGAGTGAGGAACTGAATTCATTTAAGTTGATATAGCTTCAGAGTAAACGTGAGACAGGAGATGAATCTATCCCTCCCTTGGTAAATCTTGGATCCACATGCCTCTCCTCTTACTGAGGGGAGTGCCGTTCCATTTTAAAAGCAAGCGCTTCTCATAAAACCTGGCTTCTAAACGCAACCCTGTCCTTTTGTCTGTAGCTCAGCCAAAGAAACAGTGATCAGTGCAGGAATAAAATTGACCTGAGGGTAAGACTGGCTGCCTTTGACTGAGGTGTTCTGGAAATCTCACCACTGTGGTGCCTTCCTCAGAACGACTTGGCTACATTTGCTTTATGAAATGGAGTTGGAACGGAAGCCCCCACATAAGATGTACCTGATGGAAATCAGTGAGGTCGGGGGTGTCTTCCAGATCCCAGTCTCAAAGCTAAGGACCTCCAGTTGAAGCCTGCAGGGAAGACAGTTCATCAAAATATATTTGATTACTAGTGAGCTAATGATGCACTTTTCATGGACAACAATATGTATACTAGCAATGATTATATGAACTATATTAGGAGCCTGTTGTATGCCAGGTCTTGTGTGAAGTGCCTGTGTCAAGTCATTTCATCATCATGATATCTCTGTGACACAGGTGCCATTTGTATCCTCATTTTGCCAACAAGAAAACCAGGGAATAAATAGGGGCTGTAACTCCCCCCATTGTCACTCAGGCAGAGACAGAATTGAAACACAAGAGCCTAATTCCAGAGCCCATAATCCTCCATAAACCTGTGAAACATTGGCCTTCAGTTCTCCCCCACTCCCCCAGTGGGAAGCTGAGTCAGATGGGAATGGTGGGATCGGTGGGCACTGGAGTAAGTGCAGTCAGGGAAGCCTCCTCCCCATCGTGGGATGGGATTTCCTAGTGCAGCCAGCCGTTCTTCACCACTTCCACCTCCCTCACAGACCCACCTGCCTAAATTTCAGGCGTGGGAGCCACTAGCTTCTCCTGGAACAGGCTTGGAGTCATTGTGGGGGGCCTGGCTCCTCAAGTCAGCCTGCACACTGAAGTGCTTCTACTTGCCCTGCAGGAGAATGCTCTGTGAAATGGGATTTATCGTGATATCATTCCAGAAGGATGGCTTTTTCCCCCCTATTCTGTTCCATATCAGTTAAGTGGAGATGTTTGTGTTGGAGGTACTGTCAGTGTTAGGAAAATGACCAATCGCTCCGAAATAGGCCACCTCCCTTTCTGCTCCAGCCTCTCTTCTCTGGTAGGGACCACACAGCCCTGGAATGTAATTTTGTTCCTTTGCTTCAGAAAGATGGAAGTCATGTCCTGTGGCAGGAAAAGCTGAAAGCCAGGAGATCTGGGTTCCAGTCCCCGTTCTGCCACCTGGCAGGGAGAACCAGGTTGTTCCACACCTGTAGGCATTTGTTTTCTCATCTGTGGAATGAGAGATTGGACTGGATAATGTGTGAGTTTCTGCAGAGTTTTCCATTAGAGAAGAAGGACACTTGCTAAATTTGCTCAACGGTGAGGAGGTCTCTTCCAGCTCTGGGCAGTCTTGAACAGGCATGTCCTCTCTCCTGCAGGCATCTTGGCCATCCTCATCCCCCGCCTGGACCTGGTCATCTCTCTGGTGGGGTCCGTGAGCAGCAGTGCGCTGGCCCTCATCATTCCGCCCCTCCTGGAGATCACCACCTACTACTCGGAGGGCATGAGCCCCCTCACCATCGCCAAGGACGCCCTGATCAGCATCCTGGGCTTCGTGGGCTTTGTGGTGGGGACATATGAGGCCCTCTACGAGCTGATCCAGCCCAGCAATGCTCCCATCGTCATCAACTCTACTGGTGCCTTTGTATAGCAATTTGTATTCATTCCCTGTAGCTGCCCACCTCGCCCACCCTGTGTGTTCCCCAGCACCTGGCCCTAGAGTCTCAGGTAGGGGCCAGGCTCTGGGGAAAGGCAAGATTGCTGTCGGGGAGCCCCTCCACCTGACACCTCAGTATCTGGGCCAGGTGGGGCCGAGGGCAGGAGAGAGAGTGGGTAGTGGATATACAGAGGTCACTCTTAGTGGCCGTGCCATCCTGTTCATTTGTACTTAATTTAACCCAGAACTTTTCAACTTTTTTCCCTCTTGATGTCTCTTCCCTTACCTGCCCCCCCTTCTGACCCACCTCACCCCAATTATTCCTGTTGCACAGCTCACTTTATTTAAAAATCTTAGCACCTCCCACCTCATGTTTTCTCCTTCCCAGGCCCAGGCTTGGATTAAATGAGTGGGAACCCCTACTCCTTATAAGGCTGGGCCTATCTCTTTCTCAGACCTCTCCCAAATATTTTACCTCAGTATCCTCCTACCTATTCAAGTCTCCAGGGGGTGTCTGGACCTACCTAGTAGTTTAAAACCAGGCCCCAAAGCTGGAGCTTTTAATCTTTACTCTCTCTGGGTTGTGACCATCGGCAACACCGTGTCCAATTTCCTCACTTGGGTCACAGTGTTATGTTCTTAGTTGCTTTAGCTTCTGGAAGATACCAAGTGCTGCCTAAATTGAAAATATTTATATTTTATTTAAAATCAGCTTTTGTTTGTAGACTCTGTCTCTAGATCTGGGGTTATTGTGACTTGTTCTTTCCTCAGTAAACTTTTGCTAGGCTTCTTCTGCTGAAAAGAAACTTGCTCCAGGAAATGTGTGCTTAGGTCCTCAGCACTCTTGGCTGAGTACCCCAAAGGTTTTAATCAGGATCATCTCAATGCGTACCTCTGTGGGGAGGCGTGCACTCTGCCTCCCACTGACCAGCCTGATTTCATATTGAGGAGATACGAAGGACTCAGGATATGTTTGCCAACGCACAAGGCCAAGGAAAGGATGGCCGAGTGGGATGTGCTTCTGTCCCCAGGAGGCTTCTAAAATGGTCACTTTGTGCATTCAGGCCTGTTTTTCAGCCTCCGTTCCTGACAGGCACAGGGCATGGTAGCATTCAGTTGCCAGCATGTCAGGAAGACACTCACACTTTGCCGTGTTTGAGGAGATGAGGCCAGTGTGCACAGAGCATGGAATTAAGTTCAGAGAGTTAAGAAGCAGCTGGTCGGACACTATGTGTGGTGCTTGGTTGTTTACAATCAAAGGGGGCAGGGCAGAAGCAGTGCCCCGTCCCGAGCTGCCTCCATGACCTAGACTTCTAAAGGGAACCACTTGGTAGGGACTTCGGTCCCCTGTGTTCTAAACACTAATTGTGACCCCCTCCCTCCCCTGCATGCCTCAGGGTTGGCTCACCTCAAGGTCAGCCTTCAGATTTGGGAACAAACTGCAGAGCAAGCAGAGAAAGGTGCATTGCCTTGCTTTTGGCTGCCTCTTCTCCCCTCTTGGTGTGAGAACTATTTCAGGAGGGCATTCATTCTCTACCCCCTGAGCTGTGTGTGTGTGTGTGTGTGTGTGTGTGTGTGTGTTCATACACGGAATAGAGATGCACTCTCCTCCACCCCATCCCCAAGCTCTTGCCTCCTTAGAGATGCATTCATCCTGCAAGTTAGAGAGCAGCACAACTTCATCAGGGGTCTTTTTTTTTCTGTGTTTTCGCCAAAGCTTGTAAGAGCTGTGACCCTCCCCCCAACCCTGGCCCTAGCTTTTTCTTTCTCTTCTTTTCCAAAGCCACATTGTCATTCAGTGATTCCCAACCTACTAATAATTTATTAACCTGGGAGACGTGATCACTTGTGACTTGGTCTCCCTTAGGAGAATGATACTTTTCACCCACCCTTTCTGTGGTCACCAGCAAGTGCTTATATGACCAAGGCTCTACCTGGAGGTGGCAGCTAACCTGCCCTATGAAGCCTCAGGCCTAGAAGTTACCGAAGTGGGTTCAAGGATTGTCCCCTTCTGTGTGCAAGCCCCAGGCTCCAGCCATCTTTCCACAGCAGTCCTGAGAGTTGTTTACAGTGAGAAGGCGTGTGCCAGGAGAAGGATCAGATGTGTATCCCACAACATCTGTGGTGGAGGCTTCTGTAACTCGGGGAGCTGCTAGAGGCTGTCCTTTCCACAGGGTAGTAAGACTAGACCTGAGGACTGGGAAGTACAAAACTGTGGTCCCCTGGCCCCTGGGTCTTTGCAAAATGCAAATTATTGCTTCAGAGTCCCTGGCCTGGGAAATGTGATGTGTAGGAGAGATGGCACTAGCTTTGGGGCTTCTGGAAGCTAATTTGGCATGGCCTTCTCCCAGTTTGTTCTTTTTCCTGAGCTCCTGCCGCTTCAGAAGACCTAGGCAGGGTGGATCCTGTCAGTGGGCCTTTCCGATTGTGCACTTAGGTGTCAAGTAAAGGGTCTGCCAGAAGGTGAAAGTGAGAGGAAGCCCTTTTTCTTCTCAGACCTCTGGGCCAGCTCAGGGAAGCTTACTCTTCTGCCCACAAGGCTTCTTCAGTCAGGGAGCCTGCCCTGGTTTCTCCCCACTGCTCATTAGGAACCAACTGTCCAGCTTCTGCTTGTGCCCTGCTCTGATGCCTTGTGAAAAGGTCCCAGCATAAACAGAAGTCTCATCAAGGAACAACAGAGCAAGGTTCTCTGGAGTGTGAGGCTGCATCTGTGGGACCTAAGGCAAAACGTGGGATTTTTTTGGCCCTATACTGTTAGGCCTATGTCTTTCCCCCAGGCTCCTCAGTGCAGCCTCAGATTTCCATTAGCCCTGAGGTAGCTTCTCCAAGCCCCTTGTTCCTGCCTATAAATGCTGCTGTAAGGAGGTTTCCAACTCTCTGTTGGCAACATATCTCCCCTTCCATGTAGGCATTTGCTGGGAAGAGCATGATCTGGCATCTTCTGTTTACTTTTCCTAGAAGTTGTCACCATTTACAAATGTCATTATTTATATTGTGCTGCTGTCCAACCGCTAGGAGTCCTTCAGCTGCACAGATGCTGGCCAGACATATGTGAATGTGTGCTGGGTCTTAGCTCAGTACCTGCAGCTCCCACCCTCCTGCTCTGCCACTCACCTCTCCAGCCAAGTTCATTGGCTGGTGCTCACTACTTACTCTACCCCCATGAAGGTACAGTTTGCCATGTTTTCAGTTGTCTTAAAGTGATGATCCCAGAAAGGAGCATTAGGAAATCTGTGCCCCTTCCCTGTTCTCCTGGCTTTTTTTTTCTTCTCAAATGTCTCCCTTCCTAAATTGTAGAATATCATCTCTGTTTGACACTACATAGTCACCTCATGATTTTTGGAAGTGCAAAATCTCACTTTATGTCTGTTTACAGCTCTCTCTATTCACTCATTACTCACAGCCAAGGGGTTCTTATCCATGGGTTTTATTGTGTAGCTGATCAGATATTAAGGCAGGCCCCAGCATCGGCCCTGATCAGAACACGAAGCTACTTCCTGACAGCAGAGACACAAAGAGCCAGTGGCACAATGTGATTAGGGAGTCGGCTCCAAGTCTGCCTTAGAATTCAATTTTCCAGAGTACATTACAAATCTCTAAGACCATTAGGGGAAAAGGAGAGGGTGGTTTGTCTTTGAAATCACGGTCAATACTTTTAGACAATTTAATTAGTCCTGCTCTTTGCAAGGCTGTTTTCTCTGACAGCATCAGCTTGTGGTATTTCTTCCCTGTTCTTTGTACCACTGGGCCATTCTCAGGCCAGGGTATGTAAGTGGTGCTGATATGTGGTTATCAGAGCGGGGAGTGGGGGACGCGGGTGGAGGGTGCCTGTTTTAAGCCATGTTCTTTTGTTAAATCAAAGTGATGGTGGGGAAGCTGTTTTGTTTTAGTGAACAATAAAACTATGTAACTCTCTTGTAAACCATGACAATGAATGTGGTAATAAGAGGGATACCATCCCCAGGTCTTGGTAACCAGACAGTACTGCATATATTATCCTGTGTATATGCCTTCATGAGTGTCTGTTTCTCGCATGGTATGTGTGTAGAAATGTAGACAATGCAGGAGCTCACAGAAGAATTTGTTTTGGGTTCTGCACGTGGATCATGTGTTAAACTTTTCTTTTATCTGTAAATGAGTTTTATTTTTTATTTTTGAGAGGTTGCGGTCTGCATCTTGTTTTTGCCTTTTGTTCTTTTTAAGTATCACTTAGATCTCTTTACTAGATCTTAGTAGGTGAAAATGTTTGTAGTTTTGTGTCACAGAGTTCATCTGGGGAAGTAGTGCAAACAACAGAACCACCTATGAAATTGAGAATTCCCTAGAAAGGGGCCAGGTAGTTGTTTTTCTGTTAGACAATCCTGCTTTTCTTGAAAACTTGAGAAGGAACTCTCAGCCCTATCTGTGGGTGTCAGATGACCGTACTTGACAGAGATGATGGTTAGTTTCACATGTTAACATGGCTGGGCTCTAATGTTGAACACTAATAAGTGTTTGACTAATTAGTCAAACACTAATCTAAGTGTTGCTCTGAAGTTATTTTGTGGATGTGTGGCTGATGTCTACGATCAGTTGCCTTTAAATAAAAATTTATCCTCAAAGTGTGGGTGGGCCACATCCAATCAGTTGAAGGGCCTTAAGAGGAAAACAAGTTTCAGTGAGGAAGAAGAAATTCTCCCTCAAGACTGCAGCATCAGCTCCTGTACAAGAGTTGCCAGCCTGCTGGCCTGCCCTATAAATCTTGGACTTGCCAGCCCTGACCATCACATAAGCCAATTCTTGAAATCCCACCCCCTCCATGCATGTGTATGTATTTGAAGTACGGAGATTGATTTCGGGACAGTGGAAGAGATGATTTCTGTCACTCCTGTCCTGTTGTCACATTAAGAGGGAAAACAAGACCACCTGAGCCACCCCTTAGGTGATCTGAAAGCCAATCATGGGTGGCTACTGAATTAGACTCATAGAAAAGCAGAGGCCTTGAGGCACACTACTGAAGTACAGCACTCTACAGAGAGAGGAAGGCAGGGAATGTATTATGACTACTTTTGACTATCACTCTTATTTCTGCAACTGGGGGAGGGGGTGTCATAGGGATTCAGTAACTGTTCCAAGTTATCAACCAGTAAGTGGCAGAATTAGGATTCACACTGTAGCAAGCCCTGTGATTCCAGAACCCAAGCGCTTCCCAAAGGCACGGACTGACTCCGCCTCTTTGTTATAGTCTCAGGAGGGAGGTCTGCCTTTAGGGATTATTGTGAGGGTTTTAGAGAATGTTCTAAATTTCCTGGCATGAAAGCTTATGAAGCATTTTCTGAAATATTAGCCAAATTGAAGAAAACCAAGACCCAGAAGCAGTTTTACTTGTTTTGTGGTTTTACATCCATTCATTATAGTCCTATCTCGCTCACTTCCTTTGTGGAGAGCATTCAAAACTTTAGATTGTTCGCCTCTTCACATGTTTGTTCCTGCTCATGTTTACACTTAATGGCTATAACCCTTCCTTTCAGATAACAAGGGCCCTCAAGGTAAGCCCACTGCACTGCTGGAGGCCTGAGTTGAGTGACAGTGGACTGAGTTTGGGCCCTAAACTTAGGGCTCTTTGCTAAAGAGTCTTGCTTCCTCAGACTCTGCCCGTTGCAGACATATGCAAGAAACTGTGTATCTTTAACTGGTGCACTTTAGTAGACCCTTGGTCATTGGTCTCCCCCACCATTTTGGGAGAAAAGGTTGGAGTATAAGCTACATGTAATAAAATTCACCTGTTTCTTAAGGGTACAGTTTGATGAGTTTTGACAAATGCGTGTGACTACCATTTCCATCAAGATATGGAATGTTTGTTTTACCCAGAAAGTTCCCTTGTGCTCCTTTGTAGTCAAGTCCATCCCCATGCCCACTTGGCCCTTGGCAACCATGGATCTGATTTTTCTGTCTCTTGTTTTGCCTTTTCTAGAATGTCATATAAATGTGATCGTTAAGTATAGAGTCCTTTCTATCTGACTTTTTTGACTTAGCATAATGCTTTCTATATTCACTTGTATCGTGCCTTGTATCATTAGATTTATTTCTTTTTATTGCCAAATAATACTCCATTGTATGGATAAACCATAATTTGTTTATTCATTCACCGATTGTTGGACGTTTGGGTTGCTTCCAGTTTTTGGCTATGATGAATAAAACTG